CCACTCACATGTCACTGCCTCAGATCTCATATAATTACCATCCACACCTGTTGCCTAATGCCTTCCCACCCTTCTCTGTTTTGAAGGCTTCGGGATTTCTGTAGGAACTCCAAGCAGCATAGAATAACTAGATTTGCCAAGGCTTTCTACAAATGAACGGTAACTAACATTGTCAAGAAGCCCCACCAAGTGCTTTTGGAACTACATATGACTTTCTATCAGCATACTTTTCCTCTAGATCAGAGGTCCCCATCTTTTGAGCACCAAGGACCAGTTCCGTGGAAAGAGGTTTTTCCACAGACCGGAGGTTGTGTGGTTTTGTGTGCTGCCTGCATCCTGCGGATGGGGCTTTGCTTGTTTGTACGGAACAGTTGCTGGCACGCCGAGGCCTAGTACTGGTCCACGGACCGGGGGTTGGGGACCTCTGCTCTAGATGATCACCCAAAAAGCTAGATGACAATTATTGGTCGTTTTCTCATGGCAGTACTAATAAAGGTTGTCATTTTTCATCTTCAGTTTCTGTAATCTGATTTCAAAGTGTTCCTTTTGGGGTCCTAAAATTTCTTGCCCCATGTGCACTTCTGTCACATACCTATCTCGATGATGGGAGAGGAAAAAATTGAGATGGGAATTATTGTTTGGATTCCTGGTGCAAGAAATGCAGAGTAAAATATCTAATTAATTGAAAAGGCTATTCAAACGTAGAAAGAGTGTAGAAATCAGCTAATGATGCTCATGTTTCCAATCTATTACAACAGGTTCATTGGCAATAGCTGCACAAGCCCAGCCTGAATCTACTGATTCTTTGGAGTCTGAAGTAAAGGGATCCTGATTTGGGTAATAAGGCAACTGGTAGGGTTACTACCAACAGAGAGATGTAGCACCCTATGCCCAAAGTTATGGGAGGAGCTTTGAAAAATGGGAGATAAATGAAGAAGATGCAACATTGAAGTTTCTCCCTGCTGGCTCTTTGTTCTTAGGGGGACAGAGACAATTCTCCTCTGCATATCCCCTACCCATCCTTAACGGGAAACCGTGGAATGGAAAGAGTTGCTGAACAAAATGTAAGTGTTAGAAGTTCTCTCAGAATCTTCTGTTCTACTTTTTGTAGGAGATAGAAATTACTTTTTCCCAACCAAATTTCCTTGTTAGTTCCGGAAGATTTGTTCAATAAAATAATAGATGGAGATTGAGGGACATTTCTAATGGAGAAGATTATTATTGTACCTGGAAAGAATTTGTTTGGAATACGGTGTTCCTTCTTAAAGACCTCAAAAAATAATAGATGAAGAATAAGCGGCTTTTCTAATATGGAAGGTTAAATTAAATCAATTTAGGATTGAGCAAAGATGAAAATATTTGAGATACCTACATTTTCTCAAAATCAGTTTGCAAGAGACGAGTGGGAATAACTGACCTGATATTGGCATCTTTATTATCAATGTTTTTAGGAAGGAATAGGTGAAGTGATTGTAGATATGCCATTCTTTGCATGAAGAAAACAAATTTATTTAGAGAAAATTAGAATGCAGCAATTATAAAAAGATTATATGCATCTAAATATATCCAGGGCATGTAATTCTATTGCTATTATTCTGAAAGTTTTTAATCCCAATTCTACTTCTTCATAACAAAACAAAGTATAAAATATTAGAGGAGCAAATAACATTTTTCTTCATTGTAATTACAATTTAGGCATTTAAAAAATAAATTCTTTGTGCTAACAACCAAAGTTACAGTTGTGGAAGTGAAATGCGATGTTAGGACCTTATATTTGCCCTCACTATTAGAAATTATTTTTATTTGAATTATGAGAACTTTCAGATTCTTCTAGAATGGGATGAATTTGTGGTTCAGATTCTGTGTAGTTTGCGGGAAGTGGTGCAATTTGCAAGCCAACCCACCAAGAAATTTCTAATCCCAATCACAACAGGCTATACAAGCAGAATAGCGGGGATTAGTGTTGATGGTCTCCACCCCTCTCTTCAGTCCTATTGACATACCTTGATGCTAATTTAGACCTGTGCAGCCACTGGAAGGATGTTGCATACCTTCTTCTGAAAGACCTGTGTGTCTGTGTTGAGCAAGGGAGAGAGAGAAAAAGCAAGACAGAAATCTTAAAAACTGAATTGCCCACTTCAGTGATTTCCAAGCTGCTATTATGTTTCTAACCACGGTAATTGGCTTTACCATTTATTAATGGCTTATGCTAAAGAGACAAAAAGAGACAAAATTCAGGATTTTTTTTTTTTTAGTTCTGGGCTCCATTGAGTACAAGACTGCTTGCTGACTTGGGGGATCAATTGATGTGCCGCCCTATATTTAAGAGCTTGCAGATGTTCTAAAGACTTATCTTGGGTAGCCCATGAGGTGTGGAATGAATTCTTGTGTTTGGATATTTTGGTGAAAAGAATATGCTGCTAGTTGATGCATAAAAAGCAGTCTGTTAGCTCAGGTTCTTGGCATTCTCAATGTAGACCTTAACAAAACAAAACCCAAAAAAGTTAATACGTTTATGTCCTCAAAATGTGATGGAGGATTTATAAATTCTAGAAATATGCCCGGGTAGCTTAACTTTCAAGAATATGAGAATTGTACTACAGTACATCTAAGCACAGCTTCTTAGGGATAAGTAGTTTAATGTGTGAACTGATTATATTTTATCAGAATTTCCAGATTAACAAATATTTTGATTTCTTTGAATTGATCTCTTAGGTAGAAGGAGCCACGCTTTCTTCATAAATAGTTGTGAACATAATTTTTAACTTCTTTCCTGTGTATACATTACATAGCCAGTAAAATGGATGGTCAGTTCTGATCCATATAGTGCTATGTAATGTAGTCACTTTTTATTTTATTTTATATTTTTATTTTAGAGAGAATGGCACTTGTATGCAAAGATCAGCAATATAGAACATATCTATAAAATTCCATCCAAGTTATGGTTTGAGAAAGAACTGGTATACAATGTTTTACTGATGATGTAAAATTCTATCAATAATAGCTAAAATAGATAAATCATGCAGCAATAAATGTTGGAAGTGCCACAAAAGAAAAGAAGAAACTCCAAGAAGAAAAATATTCTATTATAACGTGGTGGACATGTAACAACCCCCCCCCCCGCCGCCAAATATTGGAAAAATATTCACAGCACTACTCAGAGAATTTGAGGAATCAACGTTGAAATGAAACCACTTTTTAAAAAAGAAATTCATGAATTAGAGCCTGTTTGATATAGTGATTAAGGCATTAGACTAGAAGCCTGGATGCAGTGAGTTCTAGTGCTGCCACATCCACAAGATTGGTAATTTTGGGTCAGTCACTTCTTGTCAGCCCTCGGAAGTTGGCAACTGGCATGTATTTATGATGGTTGCAGGGTCCCGGGGTTATGTGATCCCCTTTTGCAATCTTCTAACAGAGTCAATGGGGAAGCCAGTTTCACTTAGCAACAGTGTTACTAACTTCACAGTGTCAGTGATTCACTTAACAACTGTGGTAAGAAAGGTTGTAAAATGGGGCAAAACTCACTTAACGTTTTCACTAAGCAACAGAAATTTTGAGCTCAAGAGTAGTAGAGGACTACCTGTATTATTTTTAGGGATGTTTTTGCTTTTTTTTTTCTTTGTCTTCTTTTTTGACATTTATAAACAATAATATAGTGGAGATGTTGACATTAAAATTTATACTTTATATAATAAACATTTCAGTATACTCTGCATGAAATTTGTACTAATGTTACATTGAGTAATAATTGTGCAATCCCAGTCAAGATCTGTTCATTCATAAATACCTCTTTTGAAAATATACCTTTGTTTTAAATGTTATAAATACTATACAAATGTTTTTAATAAATAGAATTTAAGGATTATAAGACTAACAATAATTATAAAAGCATAGTTAATGCACTTCTTAAAAGTCAGAAATACTATAGTTTTATATACAGTATCCATCTGTATGCTCTTTAATATTGTTAAATAAAGTTTTCTTAACTGGAAAAGGAACAAAGATAATTGTACTAATAGATTAGACTTAGAGAGTATAAACAAAGTGCAACATTGCATTTGACCTTTCCATTCCAAGCCTTGGCTAAATTCCTATGTAATTCTCCCTATCAGTACCAATATTGCTTTATTTTTTTTGTTTAGAAACTGCCCCTCTCTGGATGATGTACAAACAAAAAGGTTAAAGCATCAAAACTGAATATAAAACATTAAAATGGAGGCAAGAATTGCCAAAATTCATTATTAAATATAAATTAAAAGGCAGGGGAGGGCCTTCAGGGTGCTCCTGTTTTAGCTCCAAGCAGCGTGAAAGAGCCAGTTCTTTAGATAGTTTTGAAAGGCCAGGAGACTGGGGGTCCTTCTCGCTTCTGGGGAAGAATGTCCCAAATGGAACCATGTTACAGATATTAGGACAGGGGTGTCAAACTGCCGGCCCATGGGCCGGACGCGTCATCCCAAAACCGCCCCCACCCCATTGCCGGCAATGGAGAAAAAGCTCCGATACGTCACGCGACGTCACGAGTTTGACATGCCTGTATTAGGATGATTCAAGTATGTGTTTGGCTGTCCAGTGTTATCAAAGCATCTTGAAATAGTTTGCTGACAGATGCTTCCCTTGTTTTAGGAAATGTATATCATACGATCATTATGGCACAGTTATGATTTTTCCTATATTAATGTTCTGCATATCAGAACTGGTATTAAAAGAACAGTTTCCCATATTCCTTATTCTAGTTCTCCCTAATCTGCTGCCCTCCAGTGATATTGGATTTCAATCCAATAAACTCAGCCAGCGTGGGGGAATATATAAATTGTCCTACTTCAATGACTTGACATGGACTTCTTGAGATTTGTACTATTCTTTCTTTGTCTGTTGAACTGTCAGGCATGGAAACTCTATGCATTGCAATTCACAAGTCTTTGGCATATTCATTTACTTATAGCACAAATATTTAATAGTGATACAAATCTAATATTCCTTGTTTTCTTCTTTAATAGTTCATTTGTGACTGGAACAGCATGCTGTGGACATAATTCACCTTTGAGAATCTGGGACTTAGGGAGGTAAGAATGGCATGAATAGGAACTAATGAAATCATTTAGTTCTTCTAAATAGAAGAAGAACTAGGAGCCCTAGTGGTGCAGTGGTTAGAATGTAGTATTGCAAGCAAACTCTGCCCCAGCCTGCCTGGAGTTTGATCCTGATGGGCTCAAGGTTGACTCAGCTTTCCATCCGTCCTAATATAAAATAGTAACCTTTTCTATGCTTTTTGTCTTATTTCCCTAGTTATTGGCAATGTAAGTCTGCAAGGTCTTCTTTTGTCTATTCTGCTTTTTGCTAAGAGTTGGCTTGTCTTCCCTTTCTTTTCTGTCAAATGATTAAATTATTAGTATACATTTCATAGCTAATAGTCCATTTTATTGGCATTGTTCAACCTATATCAAGAAGCGACTTATGCCCCTTAATTTGTTCTTACTATCATATTTGGTAACTTATTGTGGATTGTTTTCCATTTAAATATAAGGAATAAATACATGACATGTTTTCAGGGAATGACATGTCTCATTCCTTGAGACATAAGTGCAACGATTCACAGAAAAACATTCTGTACACAGAAATCTTTTTGCAGAGCAGTATGCTTATAAAATTAATCGATTATAATACTGTGATACAGAATAATATCATGTTTTCTTTGCATTAAGAAGGCTTAATCTAAATATTGCATTTAGACTATGGGAAGATGATGTTCAGTTTACTTCATATATCCAGTCTCCTTGCCCATGAACTTTTTTTGGGTTACTGCACATAGAAACAACACCTCTTACAAGCAAGTAGGGAGTGGCTATGTCACCTTTTCTGCCTTTCCCAAGGAAGCTTCCACAGATAATAAAGCTATGTAGAAAATAGGATTAAGGTAATGAACAGGCAGGATGGAGTTTGATCTTTCAATAAGGCAAAAGCCTGACTGACAGGCAAAGCTAAAGCCTGGGAAACTAGCCAATGAGATTCTTCTTATGGTGGGTGCAAATTCATGGATCCCTCCCATTTCAGTTGTTGTAATGGAATGTAGTATACCAATGGGCAGCCCTTCTTGGGCCTCTCAAATGGGAGGAGTGGACATCGCATAATTTAGATATAATCTATAGTTGGTCAGACATCCTCACGTGTGGAATGATTGCTGGTGAAAACTGGGCCTTTACAGAGAAAAAGGATCAAATAGGTGTGTCTATAGCTCTCTCTGCCATCCTTTTGTCTTTTGGTTTTTTTTTTATTTGTTACTACATTATTCTTTTTTAAACAACGACTATTTTTGTTTGTGGGTGGTTTTTTTTAGAGGACCGTTGATCTTAACTTATAGAGAAAACTATGTCCATCTCTTTCTCTGTTGTTATGAGTAGCTTCAAGCATTCAGAATAATGCAACATTCACTACATTTTGCTTCATACTCTAAAAAACATGCTCTGGTATGTGGTAACTGTAATTGTGTCTTTTTCTGCCATTATTGTACAATATGAATAAAATAAAACTACATTCAAATTGACTTTTCAATCTCAAATGTTTTAGGAATATTCCCATTTTGGGACATTCCTTCCATAATGCATTATTTGTGGTATAATTTAGAGCACTGAATATTATTTCTTTAGAGCAGTCTTGCTCCTTGGTGATAGTGCTACCTCATTTTTCATACTTGTTATTCAAAGAGAATGTGGATTTTTAGATTTTTTAAATTACTTTATAATTCAAGGCAGCAACATACCTTCCTTCTCCTCCTCCTGTTTTCTCCACAAGAAGAACCCTGTGAGGCAGGTTGGGCTGAGAGAGTGACTAAACCAAAGTCAGTTAGTCAGCATTCATGCTTAAGGCAGGACTAGAACTCACATTCTCCTGTTTTCTAGGTTAGCACCTTAACCACTAACTATATCAAATTGGTTCAATTTGTCAGTATGCCATCAGATTTTTTTGTTTACTTTTTCCCTTTTTCTGTAACCCTCATGGATATCTTCAGTGCTTTTTTTGTAAGAAAAAAGGTGCCGGAACTCACATCTTGTTAATTTTTTATTAAAAAAAATCTTAGCAGGACCAGTGGTTGAGAAGTAATTAGTATTTTTTTTTTCATTTTTAAATTTGAGGTCACACTTTTACACTAAAAATTTTAAAAAGATTTTCAATTCACCAACAATTTTTTAAAATAAAGAAATTATTGACCTTTTGCATGTAGTCAATCATTGTACACACACCCACACAAGTTGTGTAACGAAACACAACGGTCGCCGCCTGCAGTAAGCACTCAGTGCGTGACCACACGACCAATCACAAGCCGAGCAGTGCCACAATCAGAGCAGCGCCATCACAACCAGCGCGGACGAAGTACACATGCATTGGACTCGACACACAAGCAGCCCACATGCACCGTTTTAATGATTTTGCCGCCGACCTGCTACGCTCAACAGGGCAATTCAAGTCCACGTGGGCCAAACATCAAATTTTCAAAAGTGACTTTTAAAACTTGGAAAATCTGTCGAAAAAACGTGCCAGAACTCCGTTCCGGTGCGTTCTCTGACAAAAAAAGCACTGGATATCTTACTTGTTTCTCCTTGATATATGCCAGATACGGATGTATTTTTTACATTTTTATACCGCTCTCTCATTAGACACATTGTTATGTTCCAAAATACCACCAGTAATAAAATCCATTAATATCCTTCTCACAAAATCTGTATAAAATCCATTAATTCATAAAACTCAGTTGCCCCAAGTTAATAATTCAATCAAAAAACCAAATCACTGGATCGTAAAATAAATCGATACAGAGCTCTCATTCAAAGCACAAAGACCAGTCTTAGATTATCATATTTTAAACATATTATAGAAAACCTAGTTCTCTGTAGAAGTCTATAATATTGGGAAAGATGGAAGAAAAAAAGAGGAAGACCAGCAAGGAGGATGGACTCAGTTACTATGGCACTACTGAACAGATCAGGTAAAGGATCGGATTGGAGATTGGATTGTAAAATTAACCAAATTTGCAGAAATGGTGAAGCTGACAAGCTTGGTCAGAAAAAAAGTAATACTTTTCTCAAAGACTGAAAATCTTATATGGACTTTTTATTGAAAGAAGAAGAAATTGAATTGATAATCTCAGGATTTGCAGATTAAGAAGAGGCTGGTTTTCTCAGTGGTAACCCTTAATCTTGGGTCACTTTCTCTGAATGTTCATATAGGAAGGGCAAAATTATATAGCCAGTAGTGAGATTCAGCCAGTTCACACCGGTTCAGTTTTTGTTGACTTCGTTGAACCAGCTGATGCCCTAGCCCTTTTTTGCAACGCTCAGAACAGACCGCTGGAAGTGCATGGACGCCAGTTCCGGAAATCCGTTCTGAGCTGGGGAGGCCTCCCTGGTTCAGAACAGACTTCCAGAAGTGGTGTCCACGCAGAGAACCAGTTGTTCAGGTATTTGAATCCCACACTGTATATAGCATAAGGCAGACTCTTCAACTGTACCATATAAGTCATCTTCAAAGGTAGCTCCATTAAGAGTACATGATAATAATCTAGTTACATGGTAATAAGGGTATAAGTTATCATGCTCATATTTTTCTGACTTAAAAGTTGGGCCACAATAGCAAAGACTCGCCTGGCTGCAACTTTCATCTCCTATTTCAGCAAGAGCCACGAACCACAAGGGAAAGACATCTGCTTTCAGGGGAGTAGAAGCTCACCTAGAGCAACCACCAGAAATAATCTTCCCAGAAGATTCAGATGTTTATTGACAAATACCATTGTCATATTGCTAGGTCAGTGATGGCGAACCTATGGCATGGGTGCCAGAGGTGGTATTCAGAGCCCTCTCTGTGGGCACGCGTGCCGTTGCCCCAGCCCCGCCTCCCCCCACGGCCCCTCCTTACCAGCAGCCCCCCCGGAGGAGAGTCACCCCCGAGTGCAGCCCACGCAGAGCAACGCAGCCAAGGACATGGCAGCCGGGCAGCGGGGACAAGACTCTGCCCTCATGCCCCATCGCGCGCAGTTGATGCTGTGGGGCACGGGTGGATGGTGTGGCCGTCATGGCATTGCTGGGCCGCCTGCGCAATCTGCAGCAGGCCATGGAGGCAGTGAGTGTCCCTGTGGATGGGTGGGGGCGGGTGGGTGGGATGGGGGCAGGGGGTGGGGCCGGATTTTGGGCACTCGGTCTCTAAAAGGTTTGCCATCACTGTGCTAGGGCTTAGTCTTATTTCTTTTTTTCCCATCTATTCCCTTACAGCCGTTAATATTTTCCAAGATTTCTACAGTATTTCTAGTCCATCAGCAAACAAATGATACCTTATCCCAATTTACTTCTAAAATCTGCTTAACAATCTTCCTCTAAATAGGAAGAGTTAAAACCTGTCCAGTTCAGTTGAAAGCCTCTTTAAAAAAAGGACTAACACCATCATTTTCAAAGTAGGTGGCATTGGGTCATCCCTTAGAGAAGCATTAATTACATCACAATTGCCTAAAAGGACAGAGACAGCATGGGTCTAGTCACCAAGTGGCAGTGCTCATACTGCAGAGCTTCTGTCCACTTTGTTAGTAGATTTCTTCTCTATCTACTCAAAAGAATCCCAGGTAACAATTCAAGATATTGTGCCTCTTTTTTTTTTCTTTTTTTCTTCAATATAGAATTTTATTGTTTTTATCATAAAAGAAAAAATACATCACAAGTATTACACAATGATTTATCCCATCCCCCCACCCCCCAGACTTCCCAAACCAAACCTAGGCTAACATTCAATTACAAGTAAACAAATATTAATATCTCTAACTCCACACTCTAAACTTAAACAATCCATCTCCTCCGTGTTAATAAAAATTATTCATTTAATTAGTTCTTCAAATACCCAAAATCTTTACCATTTCAGCAAGATAGTTTAACAGCATCCCTTACTTATACAAAAAAAGAAAAGAAAAAAAATTTCCATCTTCCATAAAGTTAAGAAATTAATTCTATCACTTCATAAAGCTACACCTATAAAAAATCATTTGGAACCCTTAATAAGGTTTACAACTTCAATTACTTAATTATCA